CGCACACACACACACACACACACACACACACACACACACACACACACACACACACACACACACACACACACACACACACACCTTACCATGTTTGTGGCAAACTGTTCAGAGAGTGTATGCATGGAGAAGTCCGGCTCATACAATCATGATAATTAAATCTCTTTTGAGAAGCGGTCGAGGGGATGGGTCCTCCGCGAGAGCTGAGCGATGTCGAGCAGCAAGGTGCCGTACTCCAGAAAAGAGGCTCCTCTTTCCGACGCACTGAGTGAGTCTCGCGCTCCGTCCTCCCTGTGTCTGCCAACCCTGTTATGTAATACACTTATACCCCGAGTCTAGGAGCCAATCAAAGACGCTCTGCCTAAAACCGGTGAGAAATACACTCGCATCCTCATACACGTTGTTGTCTCGCTCTGCACACACCATGCGCACATTGACACTTCTGCCTGCAAAGCATTTAATGGTCCTCTATTAGGAGGCACCTGCCCTGGAGGGGATTACAAATGTGTGAACGCTCGGGACGTATGCACCACTCAGATGCAAAGAGAAGCTACAGATTAAACCCACCCAGGCTCATACACACATATACAACTTAATATATGAACACACATATGCACTATGTAATCAACGCAGGCCATCTGAGCCATAACCACTGCAGTGTAGAATACTCAAATGCTATGATATAGTAATGTGGAGGTCCTGGATTGAACAGAAGTAATTAAAAACACACATCCACATGCCTAACCATGTGATTAAAGTATTTATTTGTATACATGACTGCAAATCATTTCTTTCCTTCACCTAAAGTACAACATTTGCCACTCAACTAGACACACATGGCACTTAGCCTCGAGTGTGTGAGTGTGAGAGCACATACGGTGTCTTTAAATCCCAGCCAGCCAGCCTACCATCCCTATTTATAGGACCGTCATGGACAGGCTTTTAGCATATCTATTTCTGACATTCATTCAACATTCATGACACCTGGCTTCAATCCTTTATTATGTTATGGCACAAGAAGAAAAGAGGAAATGTGTTTGTTTTTTTCATTTCCATCTGACATGTATTTTCACTTTCTTATATAAGAAATATGCAGGTGTAATAAAGTGCAGGCTTCAGGTGCCACGTTGAAAGTAAGTGAAAAAGTGAATATAGTGGGCTCTGAAATGGGAGCTGAGTTTAGCTGCATCTAAAATGGGGGAAACCTGGAGTGATGGAGGCCCTCCTTTATTAGGCCTAGCCCTGGCTGCTATTGGTTACTGCTCAGCTGAGATTACAATGATCCTCTGGAGTCTAGCATCAGCAGCAGCCTCTCACTTGCACCGCTATTTGCTACAAATATCACATTTCCTTCAGAGGAAGAAGTCACTGCTCAGCTATAAACTGCCATATTGTGGATGTGGTGAATCACAAAAGCAAAACAAGTCCTGACGCAGCAGTAGGCTGGGATTACAAAATACACCACAGATTCATTTTTTCATCTCAAATGATTATAGAATAACGTTAATCCATGCGCATTGTCCA